CTGCTAACAGGCTGAAATCACAGTCTCTGACTAATAGGAAGGAAGGGGAGATGGTTATAACTTCAGTAGGCATATGGACTTCAAGTACTCAGCTACAGTTACTGCAGAGCAATGTAACAGTTCCCAGGTCAGTGTGGATCTTCTATACATTCAGCAATTATCAGTCATTTCTATACTACTCCCATGACTCAAGGATCCAGGCAGAGTACTGACTACATAACCTTTGAAGAGAGCGAAAGACACGTCCCATGAAACACTAAGGCACTGCTCGGCATATTCCCTAGCTGACAGGGCCAGAACTGTGGGCAGATCAAGCACTGACATTCTGAAGAAAGGTTGTTGTAAAGCCTGAACAGCAATGGCTAGAGCTAAAATTTCAGCAACAGTCTGAAAGAACATACTGTAAACACTAAAAAGTTAAACAGAGGCAAGGATTGCCTTCTCCCCCAAATCAGACTACACAGGTACCTGTTCACTGAAACTTCTACCATCTTAACATGACTGCATGGCCTTGAGAAGTCAAAGCTCTTCACAAGATAATCTTGTCGTAGAAGCCCAAAGAACATTGCCACCAGAAACAGGGATAAGGTGTCTAAAATTTCTTAGACACAAACTTATAACAGACAACTTGGACATCCTGTGCTGGACTGTATGAGATTATATATACATCGGGTAAAAGAGCTTTAAAACCCTTCTATGAGTCATTACATCTGTTACTGATAAGCAGGTGTGTCACAAAATGCTACGATTTATTTGGCGTAACAGGATCAAAACTGCAGAGCATGCTTAGTTGCAGGAATTATACCAGACCAAAATGAGACTGCAAAAACAAACCTAGGATTATTTTTTACTTGGCTGAGACTGTTGATCAGGCAGTTATTCTCCAGCAATACTCTGGGACTTCCTGAGCTAATAAAGAAGCAGCTTTACACAATGCTTAAGCAACAAGAAATTCTGGTCACCAGTTACAGAGTGCATGTCCAGAACAAAAAAAGGACCCAGGAAAAAAAAAAAAAAAAGACATTTTCAAAAGGAATTTCATTACTGCTTAAGTTCTATACCTAACATCTGCAACTAACCAGAGCAGGCACGCAGCTGGAGGGGAACATAGCTCATTTCATCTGGTTTCAGATTCTTATAACAATCATTTAACTCAGTATGACAGGTAAAGTGAGATTTGCTAATGCCAGAGGCTTATTCTCTATTGTGGAACAGTTTGACTCTTGCTCCCATAGAGCAAAAACTCACGCACTTTGTGCTGCCCCTGATGGCAAAGATTTTTATAAAGCATCTTCCATTTTTCACTCCAACATTTGTTGGATCATGTGGGAATGCGTAGTGTTTTGCAACTTACCTTTTGGCATGAGTAAGTGAAGAATACACGCTGCCTTTTTGTCAGGGCAGCACACGGTATTTTAAAAACCTGCACAGCAGAATAATTCATTGATAACAGACTTACTACACAGATCAGTTTGATAGTGAACAGAAACCAGAAAAAGAGATATGTGCAGTTGAATATGGTCTGATGATCAGATTCCTTGTACCCATGAGTTTATTTCCATGCGTCCCTTGGTTTGTTCCTGTTCACTAATCTTTGTATTCTTCACAGAGCTAACAGGGCTGGAACTACAGTACTCTATTTAGCAAGGAACTACATTAGAAGTGCCAGTGAGAGAGTCAGAGCTCTGTAGTGACACAAACCCATAAACTGAACAGCTATCTCACCAATAGTGATACCAGAGGAGAGATCTCTCCTCTACAGCCCTTGATCTGAAATATACTTGTCCTTACCAAAGCTTTCTTTTGTGACTAAGATTTCACCGTTTGCTGAGACACTTAAAGACAGCAGAACTAGAGATTCATCACCCTGGTTGTGCTAGCATAAGGCATTTTGTAAATAGCTTTGCTGCCTTGGAAAATCCATAAAAGGACACTTTTTGTGCCAATTATGACTTAGTCTCATTAGATCCAGTTCTTAGTTTGGGACTCTGTAAACAATGGCCCAGAAATGTGTTCCCCTGGCAATCTAGTGCTGGACACAAAGAGATGAAAGCAATCATCCTCCTGAATTTGAGGCAGTGTACTGAGGAAAAGCATACACATCTAAAATATATGGGGAAAGAGAAGGCTGCCCTTGAATAAGGCACTTCTCTTGTTCCTCAGTGGCAAACAAGTTCTCATCTTCTGAAGGTTACCATGAGTATAGTCCCCAAAGGAAGGAAAGTAGTAGCAGGAAAAAGAGTAGCAACTTCAAGCTCTTCTATCCCTATACTTCCGTTTTTCTGAGTATGTACAAAAGCTGAGAGGCTGATTTCTCAATTCTAGTTCTGGACAACCTGCTACTTTTTGTGTTCTGTTCTGACACCTATTCTCCTGCTGCTGGAACACATCTATAACCACTGCTATCTCTGAAGTACCCCTAAGTCCAAGATGCCAGGAGCCTTGTCTATTCAGCTGCTGAGCCACATTTACAGAATATAAGGCAAAACCTCTAATGCTGCAAGAACCTGAAGGAAGAAAATCTTTAAAAGCCATACAGCTTGCTGTGTTACAACCAACTATTAAACTGTAGGGTTTAATAGAAATTCTAGGATCCCTATGAACAATACTGCACTGATTTGATAATGCTTGCGTACTTAATACATACTGCCAATATTGCTTCCAGGATATGTTGACACAGACTTATGGCCAGCGTACAGCGACGTGATGACTTCCAAATATAGTTACCCCTGTGCTACAGCAGACAGCTGGCGTACTTGAACTTCAAAAGAAGTTCAGAGAGGGGCAATATGACCAAGTCACAAGGTGCCATGCCTATTTCCTCCTCCTCAACATACCTAAGTTGACTACTGTGATATTGGTAGGCAGATCTCAGAAGGGACAAGATGCAGCTTATCACTATTACCAGTGAAACTTCAGCAGATAATTGAAAAGCAAATACACTATCAAGTCCCTGTGATTTGACAGCTAGGATCTTGTAGTTGATACATAGCAAAATATATTCTGCAGTCATACAAAAGTAAGTCTCCAGAAACTGTCTTGATGCAGAATTTCTGCTTAACAGTGACATCATGGGGGTGAATATTTTGCTATTAAAGTAAAACCTTAATTACTGGGAAGAGATCAGCAAACTGTCAATCTAGAATCTCCCTGTCTCCTGTATTTCATTTATATCATCTGTAGCCTTGCTTTCAGTCTTCACTATCGGAGAAATTCAGAAGATGTAACTTTAAATGAATACAGAATCATCCCTGAAGAACACTCCCTCCACATGATCAGAGTTAACATCGTGTAAAACTCTGCAGTGATGAGATACACCATATTCCTATTCCCTTGTTCTGCAGCTGGTACCAAAAAGTTCACTGCATCAAACCTATTTGCAGCACACCACAAGATTTGGCACAAATGCTAGATGGTCTTTTGCTGGAACCCCGGTGTACAGTATTATGCCAGATCATGACACAAATAGCCTCCGAGTCTGGCAGAATAGGCTTCACCTCCTGGACTGGAGACAGCTCAGGACTGCTCAACCAGAACTTAGTCATGTTCACATACCCAAACATGAGCAGGATGAAATCATCAGTTCTTTGTCAGAAACCTGCCATTCCATCCCAAATTAAGATAACCTGTTGGTAGTCTATTAATGACATAATACCAATAAATGACCAGGGCTTAAACTAGGGTCTGTCACAAGCGCATGGGCATAAGGCTCTTTATTTTCTTAAAAAGGCTAGCATTTCCATCTACTCTGTGGCTGCCCAAACTCTCTTCTTGTTGAGACCTTGCTTTTCACTTTTCATTAATTTCTCTGGCATTGGGCAACGAAGTTGCAGCTTCAATATCAGGCAAAAAGGGAATAAGGGGAGGTCATCACCACTCACCACCCATTACATTGGGAGCGCACAGTATTTGCATTTTCTCATAAAAAACTCACTACAGCAAAATCTTTCTCACTGACATACTCAAACCAGGAGCATGGCTAGTAGTATCACTGGCAAGCATCATGGTGTTCTTTTTCCATTTAGTTGCACCATTTTCCATTTCCATGGTGCAACTAAAGCATCTACCAGGTGAAAATCTACCATTTACTGCAGGTGAAAAGACAACTCAGCACAGAAAACTCAGTAGTGTAAAGGAATTACAGAAAGTAACCAGAACATATAAAGAAGGCACTTGTCCCTCAAGACTTAATTTTTTTTTTTAATACAATTCCCAACTTTTAATTTCACATTGGACTAGTTTTTGAAAGCAGTCAAGGAAACAAGTATTTGGACCTCTCTTGGCATCATCCAGTTATTCACTATGGCAATTAACTGGATACTACATCTTGTTCCAGTCAATACTTCTACCTAACACAGAACACTTCAGTAGATTTATAATGAGCACCTCATGCCATGCAATGCAGTTTTGTGCTTTATAACTTGCACTGCCCAATTCCATGTTGATTTAGCTCCATATCAAAACAGAAACCTTAGAGAATCTTAAGAGTCTGGGAACATACCTAAAGGAACTACAACCTCCTCTTCCAGGAAGTTACAATAAAGCCCAGCAATTACTTTCAAGTTGCACTTTCAAACTGACAAAAACCCAAAGCTGACAGCTGGACTTCACATGAGGGTCCTATTACCATTAAAACCTGAACTAACTGCTTGGCTGAAAATAGTAAGAAGTATTATTCACGTTCATAGCATGATATGATATTCATGTTCAATTTGTATTGTGGGGAAAAAGGACCATAATTTGACAACGGGAGATTTTGCAGATGGGAAGATTTATGAAAATATATTTCTACTCTTCTACTTAATTAGTTACTGTTAACTCTGGGTTTTATTTTATTACATCTAACTACCACCCCAAAGAGTACCAACGATTTAGGATGGAATCAGGGATAGCATCTTAGGGACAGTATCACATTAACTGCTGTTGTGTCAGTCGAGGCTTTGAAGAGTATGATAGTCTCTGCTTCTTACTAGTTTAACCCATTAAAAGAAAAAGCTTACAATGTCACTGCCGGAGAGCGATGATACAGAAGAGGCAGATGAGCCAGAGGATAACTGTTGTGTACTAGCCAATGACAGAGTCAAGCGTTGGTTGTATGATGGTTCAGAGTCTCTGTTCTGATGCTGCTCTCCATTACACGGAGCTATCTGGTCTCTTATTTTCAACCTATTATCTGTTAACAGAAAACATAAGTATCACTTTAGAGCACCGAATACAAATACACAGGCCTTGAAACAACAGCTCTTCTTAGGCTTAGCAAGTTAACTGAAAAAACAGGCTCAGTAAACTAGTCTTGGGTTAGGAAGTTACAAATTCCTTTTATTTCTTCCAACATCTCTGAAAGTGATTAACTTCAAAGGCAGGAGTATTCAAGAAAACAATTTAAGTTGGTTTCAAAGATTCCTGCTATACCTACCAAGTTCAGGTGATAAATTAATTTTGCTCCCCCACTTCTTTTTAATCCAGGCCCTGTAGTCAATCACTTCTTGGGTCACTTTGATGATTCTACCTAGTGTGCTAAAAACATTTTTCAATTAAGTATTAAACAAAGACTGTTGGTTACATATTTGCAAGCAATTCAACAAGCAATCAAATTATGCTCAGAGTCAGTTTAAGATATCCCTAACCAAACAATCCGTTTGAACTTTGATTTCCTTAGCGCATCATTTAATCCACTGAAGCATCACAATTTTTAAATTAGTATGCTATTTCTCTTCTATCATACTGACACACAAGCCCTGACATGTAGGTAAGATTTCTACTCTGTATTTCTAAATGGAGTGCATCTTAATTATCAAGAATATACATGCCGACACCAGCATACTTCATAAAAGCAATTTACAGATTCTTGCATTTCTCTATACAGAAAATATTTCCCCACCCAAAGGACCTGGATTACGACAGTTATGGGATGCACTGTAGACATTAATATCCCAGCGCCCCAGCTGACCTTCATGCTGAAGACAGAGACCTTCACTAGTCCTTGCTGACAGATTTACAAGACAACTTAAAAGGTGTGAGAACCCTACAATCATAAAGGAAGTACCATGGATCTTGAGGTAATGGAAACAAGAAGCAGACTGGCTCCAAAACCCGAATGAGTTAGAATTTAAAGGAAATTCATAACAGTACATAGTTCAGAGAAAAAGCCTACCTGGTTCCGCTGAACAGCAACCAGTTATCAAGAAGGAAAAACTAATATTTTCCAACATACTTTCCCAACATTCAACTACTTGAATTGCATTTCTTGAGCAGGAGCTGTGCCTTTGTTTGAGCGCTAAACTTTCAAGATTAAATTTCATCAGGGACTAGTGGCTGAAACACTAACTACAAACTAACTCTACGATCAACATACATGAAGCACTGACTATTGTACAGAAATGGACTGTGAAAAGTTACTATTTTTGAGAAGGTAATGTTATTTTAGTTTGGAAATCTTCAACAGTTAGAAAAAAGCTTATTTTGTATTTCATGTCATAAAGGCACATTGTACTGTACTGGAATTCTTTTGCTTTAGATGTATAACAGGAAGGAAGGACCTATGTAGCCTAAACGTATTTAGACTACCTTTATTTGGTCATTTCACTTTAAAAAGGAGCAATAATTCTCCTTCCGGCTTAGGGATTACTATTTCATGCAAGATTAAATACCACATTCTCCATGTTGAGCCTTCCAACTTTAAAGGCACGTCAGTGCGTTAGTACTAAAAAAAGGCAGTCCAGCATTTTACGCAAACATTGAACCAACTAATATCTTCTAAGTTTTAAATCCAATAGCTGTAGGAGAGCCTCACTGACAGAACGAATGTCATCCACCATTCTATTTATGTGATGCAGATAAAAGGATGCATGTTGGGAAATAAAACCTTGAACATTACATGCAGAATTATAGGCGTGATTGTCATCAAAAAGTGAGAATGCCTTCAGAAAGATTTAAATTTATAGGTTATCCTGGAGTAAAAGCTTCACATGACCGGCTGTGGTCTTAGAACCAGAAAATTAACATGGACTAACATAAGCTCTTACAGAGAAAGAGTTTATCAAGTCTGATGCTCCTTGGAGTACCCAGAAGCAAATCAGTAGTCATGCCTTCATATACCAGATGGAAAATTAATGATATAGGATGGTACTGTTATCAGCCTGGGTGACTGACTTAAAAATGCCTGCTACCAAATTGATGAAAGGCAAAACTACTGCTACACCAGCAATTATGGCAGAGTTGCACATAGAGAACCTGGTAATCTCTTCTCTCACTATCTCCTTTCACACAGAATAGAGATCAAAGACCCAGACTCAGTTTTGGTAGAAAAGTATAAAAAAAAATATTAAAAAAATCACTATATCAGGTCAGGAATTCAAAGGCAGATCCATGTAACATTTCTGGTACACCAAGATTAAAAACATTCATTATGAGACATCAAAAACTGAAAGGTGATTAAGGCTGTACTGCCATACACTTAATATAGCAGCAAAGAAAGAGGAAGCAAGTGTGATCAGACTAGACAGTGCTCTCAAAGGACACGAGGTGTGGGACCCAAGAACATCCACAGGGCAGAGAACAACTTAAAATAAACTTTTTTCTGTTTCAAGAAAAGAAACTATTAATCTGCCCAGTCTTTTGTAGAAGGAAATTCCATGCTTTTTGGTTTCTTTTTTTGGCCAAGGCCAGTCTTTCTATGGATATGAGACACTCCCACAATTCTTCAAAGATGGAAGACATGGAAAAAACATAGTTAATTGGTTGATGACATGAGACAGCTCTCCTATGAAAGATACCTCTATATGGTTTTTCCTTTAAATGTTATCATATAGCAAAACCAGGAATAAGCTATTTTCATACCTCGTTTATTTTATGATAAGAGCTTAGATGCTCCTCTGTTTACACACTGCAAGTCCTCTGTTGACAGGGCCACTTTCTAGCTGCCTTTACAGCACAACTCGGGTGCAAATACACCTTAAGATCACTCTTAAAAGGCTCAGTTTGCTGACATAAGATTCAGTAAAATCAAATATCTAAAGCTCCAGCCAAGGTCCACATGAATGAGTACCAGAGCAGCAAAAAAACATTGAGTCTGCAAAAGAACAGTCACAATAACTGTTCAGTAGGCCTTCAATTGAACTTACAACATATTTCCCTGGTATTAAAAGGGCAATGTAACCTAAAAGTAGACTAAGAAGCACCTGAGAAGGATCTGCTTGTGCTTAAGGATTAAAAAAAAAAAAAAAATCTAAAGCCTCTACCCAGGCAAATAGTTGTGTAGCAACAGCTAATATCGCTGATAGCTCTTAAGAGGCAGTATGCATTCTAGTGACAGCCACCCACCATTCAAGATGTGAAGCAAAGGAAGGAGTGTTTCAGGCAGCCCATTTCTGCCTTCTGTGCAGCAGATCTAGCAGACAACTTTAACCTTCCTTTTGGCAGCCTCCAGAGCTCACAGGAGCTATCTTGGCCAACCCGGGCCAACACAAACTTAACATAAAGACCTGTGAGCACTTAGCTCAGTGGAACTGTGTACTAGGAAGAGATCAAATAGCTTTGAAGCACAGAAATTAAAAGGTCACTATATACATGGCCCAGACTATTGTTGGTTTGAAGATTATCACCTTTATCACATGGCAACTTCAAACATGCAGTAGCAAAACCCTGCCAAGGCTTCCTGAAAGTCTGACCTGTTGGCATGACAGTCCCTTTCCCTTGTCCACCTGCACATCTAGCACCAGTAAGGAGAAACCTGTTACCAATCCACAGCTCTACGAACTCAAGAAAGGTTTCAAATGCCTTAGTTATACTGGAAGGATACATCACAGCAGAACCAGACTTCTATTCCTCATTTCAAATGACCTCATCTGCCTCCCAATGTTGGCTACGCTGCTGCCGAGATGCAGTCTGAGCACACATACACATCTGAACCATGCAACAGCCTACAGACACACGTATTAACCTAAGGAATCATCTTTGTCACTTCTAGATCAGCATAACTTAGAGCTGTCATCTGGTACAATATCACTCTCTCCATCTTCCCCCAGATGTGAATCCCTGCTGCTTCTCTTGTCCCTGACCTGCCCATCGCACAGCCACAAGCTGGATCAACTTCTGAACATGAGTGTTGATATATCTGTTTTCAGTCAGAGCAAAGAGCTCATATAACTCACCTTTTGAATGCAGGATCACTAAATCTGATCCAAGGCAAGAGGCAGAATATACAGACTGAGAAGGAAGAACACAGGCAGCTGACACGAGATAACCCACAGACAGGCTAGACAATGTACAACGTGAAACTGCACCTTAATACAGAGACCATGGACAGGTTAGTAACAGATAGGCCACTATTTCAAAGATCATCAATCAAGGAGCAAGAGCTTGTTGCCAGACATCTGTTAAGGCTTCATGTGGTTTATCAAGAAACAGAACAAAACTAAGAAATTGGTCACTAAATTGAAACTTTGCGTCCAGGGAAGGGCAACAAAGCTGGTGAGGGGACTAGAACACAAGTCCCGTGAAGAAGGGCTGACAAAACTGGGGTTGTTTAGCCTGGAGACAACAACGGTCTCAGGGGAGACCTTATCATTCTCTACAACTATCTAAAAGGAGATCTTAGCAAGGTGGGTGTTGGTCTCTTCTCCCAAGCGACACAAGATAGGACAAGAGGAAACAGCCTCAAGTTGCACCAGGGGAGTTTTAGATTGGATATTAGGAAAAATTTCTTCACTGAAGGGGGTAGTCAGGCACTGGAAGCATCTGCCCAGGGAGGTGGTTGAGTCAGTATCCCTGGAGGTATTTGAAAGACATGTAGATGTGGCTTTTAGTGACATGGTTTAGTGGTTTGACTTGGCAGCATTAGGTTAACAGCTGGACTCTATCTTAAAGGTCTTTTCCAATCTAAATGATTCTATGAAAGTATCACTCCTTTCAGACTTCTTTAGTTAGCTCACTTAAAATGACACCCTCTTCTCTAGAGAAGGGCTATGCCCAAAGTCCATACTAAACTTTAGGCAGGAGCTATCCTGTCCATAACTATGGATTACAGCCAGATTAATGTTCCCATGGCCCCAGATACTAAGAAATCATAATTTTCAATCACCTTGGCTGAAGTCACAACACCAATGGATCAGTGTCCTCATTTTCTACTAGGAAAACCCCTCCTTCCAAGATGATGGAAAACCGTTTGCTCTAACAAAACCTACTGAACTGTGTCAGCCTCTCTTGAACCATTCGAGAAAGAGGATGGGTGAGGTACACTGGGGACAAAACAGCGTTAAGATAAATTCTGTAGCTGTAAGAATAACCTTCAGGACTCTGCTGATGACTGCTGCCACTCAGAGAGAAGATAGCTTTCAACTCCCACTACACTCCAGATATTGTATTTGGAAGCTTGAATGAAGATGCTGATACAAATGATTTCAATCTACTCATTATTCTGAGAGATCTATTACTATCGAACATGGACAAGAAAAAGGCCTGTGCTGAAGGACCAAAATCTGATTTTTCCACACTTGGAATATCAGAAGCAGCAGCTGGCTATAAAGTCTTACATTAACTTACACTTGTGCTCCTTTGTGTTGGACCCACCCTGAAAAAGAGCAGTAATGATGATCACCCAGAAAGATTTGAAGTCTATTGAGATTACCATCTACAAAACAGGACTCTGCACACAGAAATTTCCCCTGTAAAGAGCTGATACAAATTCAAACCCACCGGGCAGTTCAAGAACAAACTGTTCCACTCAGGGGAAAGCTAGCCCCAGTTATGACAAAACTGAATAAAATCATCAGCCTAAGGAATTCAGCCTCCTGCAAGTTCCTACCCTTTCAACTGCTCTTCACTTAGTCTCTGTTGATCCTTCTAGTATAATGTCATCTAGTCAGCCATTGCTCTTAAAGGGAACCCATTGTTTACAGTTTAACCTACCACTAACAAGCCTAGAAAAGGGAAAAAAAAAAATGGATGAGGACAAAGATCTCCTGGATGGTTATGGCTTTAGGTCAGGCCACCCAGAGAAGTCTTTTTATACAGAGCCTGGACCATTCTGCCTACCAAGTGGAAGAAGGATCTGAAATACACGTGGATTGCCCAAGCACATCATGTTTAACTAAAAACTGAGGCAGAACATGGAGTGCTGTTGAGGTTCTGCAACAAACTTGTTACCTAACTGCTCACCATCCACCTACAGATCCTTTGGCATTGACAAAGCTGGTGCTGGGGGAACTACCAGCACACAGGACTTGGTTGAAGGCTGTTCCTCTTATGACAGCACTCCCTTCAACAGACCGGCAAGCCACTGGCATGACAAGTTCTGAGACGCTGGCATCACTGGCACAGCCAGCCCAAAACTAGCAGAAAGACACGTCAGATGTACAACACCTGAACACTGCTGCTGGGATTCTCCCCAGGTCCGAAGTTGTAACAAACTCCAAACATTTTCCCAAATACAGTAATTTCACAGTGTACATGTGAAATGCATATATCGATGACATCCGAGTCTTCCGTTCAATGCATTTACAAATACAGTTTTTGATGTCTGTAATAAATACAGGTACCTCATAAAAGAATGACTATGTCCTTTGGAGAGCCACAGGGAAGTTAATGAAGGCCGGGACTCAAGACAAGCAAAACTTCAGGAATCCCTAAACTGTTCTGTCTATACTTACATAAGAATAAAGTTTCATTCAGCAACAATTGTCCACAATGCACACATTTAACAGTCAGACCTTTATCTTAAAACATAGCAGTCTCCAATGCCAGTGTATAACACCGTGTACCACCCTTCCTGTGTCTCCATCACAGGCACAAGTGCAGTCTCAACCTCCACAAATTTAGTACCACAGAAAACCTAGAGATTCACAGGCACTATTCAAATACTGTCAGTTTTAAACCCACAAGTGAAAGACTGCATCCAGTTTGTGGTAAACTTACTATAGGAGAACAATTTCACCACCCAATGAAATTAATGCTGGAAATTAACAGCTTGTCTAGAGTTTGGAACTGTAACTAGATGGTTTGTGCAACTTGTTACAGCCATCCGTCCCTATGATTAGCTAGGGAGCTCAGAGCCATTGGGATTCTCTGGAAATCTCAGGGAAGAGACGTTCTCTGATCTAGTCCCAGCGTGTACTGAGGGTTAGCATAACAGATGCTAGAGCAGATACCTGAATGACAATACAACTGGGCTGAAGTGCCTTCATTTCTTTCTCCTCCTCCTTTCAAAAAGTAGAAAGCTTGCAAAGGTGAGAGCTAAAAAAAACTTACTAGCTGGACAGTGTTTCCATGAAAGACATTAAGAACTGCATTAAAAATGGCACATCTAGAAACATGCTACTTTTAATGGCAGTTCTGACATTACAGCCAAACAGAACTGATTTTTTCAGTAGCTTAATTACATACCAAGCCTTTTAAAAGAGTTTATGGGAGCCTGTGTTAAAGAACTACAGAAACTTCCAGCCTTGTTGTCTACTTTTGTGTCTAAACAAGTGGTTTGATCACGCACTTTGTTTCTGCTGTAGTACAGACACATCATACCAAACATTAAACCAGTAGACCTTCCTTTGAAATACTTTCAGCAGAATGTTTGAGGAAAGACCAATTAACCTCTGGCTCCCTTCCACACTAAGAGAACCTCACATTGGACCCATCCTGGTTTTTGTCATGCTGTCTTCATTTCAATACTGCACACTGAGGAATACACTCATACCACTGGGCAGCCTGAATTTCTGTGCAGATTTCAATACAGCTGCAGTTAAACAATAATGACAATATTCCTTTTATTGATTTAGACCAAAACATTCCTAATTGATTACACAGACAAATGGATATTCAAAAAGTGGACTAATTACCTCTCAGAATCTCTATTTGGATATGATCTTGCAAGTGGTGATACTGCATGGCTAAGAACAATGTAGGCATAATCAAAAACTTGTTTCACTTGCATGGCACCGTAAGAACTTCTGCCAACGTCGTTTCCTGAAATAATGTGACAGTCATCAGATCATCTTTTTTTAATATCAGTAACCAGCAAATTATTCATACTTAAAGCTCAGAAGCCTTAACAATACAGCTTAACTCTGTTTAAACTGGTTAGCCCATCCTACTCATATCAGGAACAACTAAGTGTGCCTGTCTCAATAGAAGAAGCTAACCTTAGGAATGACACTTAACATTAGGCATTCAATTTACCACTTTTAAAATACCAACATACTACTGCCTGAAAGAGAGAACAGAGATCAGCCTAAAGCTCTTACAGTTGTCTTACAAGAGGGTATCTACTAAGTTTAAAGCACCATGTCTCACTTACCATTAGAGCTTCTGCAGACCAAATTCAGCTTAAAAATTCCACTTGTGCAACCACATTATCTTCATAGTGCCAGGTATACTTATATCAACCCCTACTTAAACTTATCAAAACTCCAGATTAATAAACCAGCTCATACAGATTATTTAACTCCACAGGATAAATCAGTTTGTCAAAAATCTATCGTAGAGGATTACAGAAGTTGGTACAGCATTGGTTTTTGATCAAGTTAGTGGCACTTCTTGACTGCCTCTCTTTAATCATGAGTGACATTTATAACAGAACTCCTCCCAAATCCAGCACCATGCGTGAGGAACTGCAGAAGTTAAGAACATGCTACAGCTTCTGTATCAGTGACAACGTACAAGCATTGGCCTCCCATTTGACACCTACAAAGATCTCGCTATTACCAGCAAGAAGAAATATGTGGGGGGTTTTTGTAGATATATTTGGCACCAGACATCAAAGGTTCACTGTCACCACTCAATTTAAAACACACAAAGAAAATTTTCTCCAAATCACCTGTCTAAAATACAAACTAGATCTTGAGTGGGTAGAAAGCTGCTTACAGTAAAAGGTTCCCTCCTTCAGAATGATGCAAGAACACTGGAAAGGGATGAACTACCAAATGTGTTTATTTAAGCTTGAAAATCAGATCAGGGTCCATTAACATGTTTTAATGAAAATCTGCTTTGAAAATGGATGGGTCAAAGGCAGAATCTGTCCTTCAAAGGACTGAATCCAATGAGGCTGAAATTTACTTCAGAAGAACCCTTCACTCACTGAAGTATTTTAAGAGTCCAGCAAGCCATTGTAGACAAACATACTGAGGTCTGCCACCCCAGGGCAGGAGGGAAACAAACAAACCAACCAGCTTTGGCTTCACTACCTGAAACATATTTTAGTCCTTCAAGATTCTCCAACCACAATGCCACTTTAACTCAAAAGCATAATCAATGAAAACAGACTGCAAACAGAAGAGCATTCGGGGAACACAGATTCAGTAATTTATGTGGTCAAATAAAAACTCATCAAGAAATACTTCCTGTGTACTGAAGTAACGGAGTATCTTGTTCTGAATGCACGCCTGCAGTATCCAGCAGCTAGTAGGCTCAAAATTACAGAAGCCTTTCTAAATGGCATATTCGCTACTGGCCTATTTCCTAAAGCAGAAGCAGAGACCAATGTGGGCCTAGGACAGTGAATCTAGGAAGAACAACATTGTAGTTAACTTCAGAGCTGCACTACGAAGTAGTAGAGAACTTCACAAAGGACTTAGTCCAAAGGCTGCTGCATAGAGACCAATGTAGTTCAGTGGTCAAGAAACCAGAACACAAAATGTCAGTTCTACTAGAAAAAACAATGATTCATTCAGTACAGGTTTTCCAGGGGCAGGACACACTTGTGTCCAACAATGCCATCTTCCACGTAATGACATGCTAAACATATAGACAAAATAATTAAATTGAGAAGCAATACAGAAATGGAATACATACAAGTGGCTGAAGACACACAGTTGCACCTACCACTAAATTCAAGTCCATTTACTGTTGGACTCGACCTTGAGGGTATTTTCTAACCTCAATGATTCTATAAATTCACATAACGGGAATTAAGAATACACACTCCAAGAAATTGCATTAATTTAGTCTAATCTGGTCCTAAGGCAGCTACATTTGCTATGCATCCTACACGGAGTTACACCAAAATGAAGACACCGCTGCTACAAACTGTTGGGCTATCCCTTTCGTCAGTTGTTGCCACCCCCACTGTTGTGCCAGCAAAAGCAGTAAGACTTCCCTAATCCACTTAGGGCAAACTCGGGCAGTTTGGTTTAAACCACCAACGAAGTTGTGTATGAGTCTTGACTGAAGCAGAATTGAGTAGAGAGGCAGGATAGCTCATGCCATAGCATGCCTAGGTTCCTGGATTGCCTCATTACACACTTGTAACTAGTACATAACAATGTCTGAAGAAGCACATCATTCAATTATACAGCCTGCAGAGCTTCTGACTTGCACTGCAGCTGCAAAGCATGTACAGAAGCCAAAGCTACTGTGTGAGCTACTATGAACTGTACCAGTCAAGTCTGTAGAGAGGTGGCCCTACACAATCCAGAAAGCAACATATTAAAGAAGCCAGAAGACCACATAATTTGCATTTGCTGTCCCCCTAACAGACTTTCTTCTGAGATCATTCTCATTAGCAGATCATGTCTTACACAGCTAAGCATCCTTCTTTAGTCACAATCTACAGGGTGATCAGTTAAAGCCCATAACCCAAATGCTTTCACACTTTTTAAAAAAAAGAATCATAGGGACTTCAAACCACAGGTATACACTAGTAAATAACAATGGTGTGTGATTTCATGTATCATTCAATCCTCACCCTTTCTTACAAAGCCTTCATCCCTAAAGGAGCATGCCTAAGATTTCCACTCCTCACCATCAGTGACAACCACTCCGTCAGGTAGCCTTCCATTACCTGAAGCAGTTTTAAAAACACTGCCTGGAAAGGTAAGGGTAGGACCATGAGCTAGGACAGAAGCAGATCCATTTTTGGTAAGCTATTACCTAGTAAGTACCTTTTTGCAACATTCAGCATTGAAGTTAGTGTCTGAAAGAACTCCTTCAATGTATCTGTGTATTTTTATAAATGCTTTTATTTTATATACCCACACATTTATTTGCAGGTGCAAATACAAATACAAACAGCAGACACTGAAAAGCTGCAATGAATAACTCTGGGCAGCCACCAAGGCTAGAACAGATAATCCCAATAGTCACTGCTTATCTCACATCTAATGACTTCCTGTATCTGTGACCTAACAAGGTGCAGAAGCAAGCAACATGAAGCGTCATTAGTCCCGCAAGCTAGAGAGTCTCTTTTCAGAGAAAACTTATTGAATTTAAGGTTTAGAACTTGTGACCGCAGCAATTCAGAATGAAGAACAGCCCTTCTCATGAAGGGAGCAGAGCAGGTGAAACTCCAAGACTTAAACTGCAGTTTAGCTCCTCTTGACACTGCCAATCTGAACCAAGATCAAAATCATTCCTGTTCTGAGCCTCAGAAATGGCTGAAGGACCTTGATAATCAACTGGTTCACAAAGCCATAAAATAAGCTTCCCTAACAATCTACTGAATAAATGTCAATTTTGTTTTACAAACACAGGTTAAAGATTTGTCACCTAAAACCAGTCTTGTCTTCCAAGACAGGATACCGCTGGACCAACTTTGCACAAACCTCTTCTAGGATGATACCATCTACCCTGCTTCAACACATGCCTGTGAACAGACTTCTGAGTACCTGGCTTTGCAGTTCTCCTAGATCAATGCTTTCACTTTTTACGTATCAAAGAAAGGACAACTGCTTTGAGAAACTGAAATGGTGGCAGCTACTAGATGTTTCTATAAACTCCCATCTTTGGATGATGCTATAAGAAAGACTATCTCATTACCCTTCCTAGGGCACTAACTCAAGAAAGAATCCTAGGCTATGTATGAAGATCAAGTGTAAACTACCACTTTAAAATGTATCACCAGCTAGGTTAATCTGACATCTCAAATCCAGACTTCCAACACATTTCCCACTTGAAGTGTAGACTCCTGACATCTTTGTTGGAACCTTGGTTCTCTAATCACAGAAATTATAACCTTCTAGCACCCAATAATCAGTCTTTGAGACTCTCAGAGGAAACTCTACAGCACCCAGGAGAATCTGAGCAAAACCCACTATGACCAAAGCAGCAACACAATAGCTTGATGCCTGCTCCTTCTAAATCTAGGAACAGAAGGTACCGAGCAGGTGGAACTTAGTATCCTATCTTCCAGACCGCATCATTTAGCTGTTAGCAAGACATCACCATTTCACACTGATAGAAAAAAATAGTTCCTCCAACTTAAAAGAACTAATCCCACTGACCTTAAAATCCTGTCCCCTACAAGACAGTCTAAAGGTATTCTTATGAGTTACACCTTTCAGCATCCTATTGCTGAACTACTGCATACACTCACAGGAGGGACTTTTACACTAAATGGATAATCTTGAGAAACTGAAAGGCTTTTCATCCCTCTATTTTTTGTCTGATTTCTGGATTAAGAAATCCTCTTTCCAAGTCTTATTCCAAGGCTTAAACAGAACTTTCTCTAAAGTTCTGATTAGCCTAAAAAGTAATCACAAAAGAAACTTGTGCACACAGAGCAAAAATAGGTTTGTGGGAAAAACTCTACAGCATCTTACACTAAATCAAGAAACATCTGTCTCCACTCTTTACCAAAATCCTTGTTCCCATCTCCTCCACAGTACTGGCACTGACCCCCACAGACTTAAAACACTGCATGGATCTGACCACATACTAATCAAGCAGAGGTGATGACCTGTCAGCTGGGCAAGGACATGAACCCTTGGATAAGTTTTTTGTACTGGGACACAAGCAGTAACAGAACTGATTAACAGAATTCTAGACATTATCTACATACACGACAGGTACTTTTACATACTGTAGGAATATATGATTAAATCTTGATCTAAGAAGGCTGTATTCATGAGATCCAATTCAAAGAGTCATCCTTTATGTTCTATATAATTTTCCTCCTAGTTCCATCAGGCACGATCTGAAGCTCTGTGGTAGCTGGCAGAAAACATCCCTATGGGACACAGTGGTCAGATAACTTCAAGTTATTGTCAGCTTTCACTTCCCTTGCCAAAACACTCACTCTCCTGTAAGAATTACATTATGTCAGCCCATATAATCCCATGTAACATTTAATTCCTACCAACTCTTTGATAGAATATAGCTCGATATCCTTCTTCTTAACTACAGTTCTTTGCTTCTGCAAGATTTATGCTAGAAAGAAAAGTTCAGTGCCCCTACTGGACTTGCAATTTCTTTTGTCTTCTCTGAAGGGTCAAAGAAGAAAAAAATCCTAAAGCACTGTTAGCGATTAAAACATTAAGCAGCACATATAATTTCTTCTCTTTCGGTCCTCAGCAGATAGGAAGGAACAGAACTGAAGGACAGTAAAGGTTTTTGACTCTAAAGAAAGGCTGCTACTCAAACGTGTCTTCAGGACAGCTACTGAAGGAAATCTCAGTAACTCAATGAACATTGTGCAAAAATCACACCTATACCTGGCCAAGTCAAGAGTCATGACGGACACAAATTCAGAGCTACAAACACATCAGAGATGTGGTTAGACAAATGAGTATCTTGGCTCGCAACCTGTTCTGGAGAACGATGAACATCAGCACACTGAGTATTTAGAAAAGTGCCAGACTTCAGCTCCTGATCCATGGTATTTGCTTTAAAAGTGCTCTGCATAAGCAGTCTACCCACAAGACGTGACAGCACGGAGTTTGAGTGCCAATTACATTCTAGAAATACGAATGCTGAAGCCCAAATTAACTGAAAATTGACTGTTAAAAAGCTGGTTTGGAATTTCAGCTACTTGTGACAGTCTAAATAGAACCCAAACTCAGTACTCTAAAGCTGGCAATTTTTTTCAGGAGCTCAGCCAAAATTAATCTTGATTACTTTGAAGGTAACTGAATCAAAACTAAATCTTAGAGAAAAAATATTTTTAGTTACTTTCAAACGTACAGGCAACTATAACTGGCATTCTCTAAAGGTCTCTGTGCAGCACAGAAGCCAGTTATGCAATCCATTCTTCATGCTGACCACAATACAGCTGCTCCCTTGCTACACATCCACCGATACATGCCAATGCTCCTGTGCAGTCCCTACACACCGCCCTGCAGGACAGGTTCCTCACTGGGGGCCTTTCTTTCCCATATGGTATAATTAAACTGAAGTATGGCACCACAGACCGTGGCAGGAAGGAAGAGCTACACCTTCCATTCTCATTCTCTCATAATGAACAACGCAGAGCTGTTCCTACTAACAAACCCGCTTCCCGGGATTTCCTGGAGCTCGCTCTGTCGCTACGTCTCAGCACCGTTTGAGACTCATATCATACACTCAACAGTTCCAAATCTCCAATGCATTTTGTATCTGCACTGTTTGCCTGCAATCCAATCTACCCAGGCTATGAATCTTGGAAGACTTAAGGTCCTTACCCCTTAGCCCACCTCTGCAACTGTACCTCGATACCAGCAAGCCTCTTCTCAGTGCAGCTTAACTCATTTGACAGACTTCAGGGACCCTAACCTAAGCTGTGAGAGCACACGCTGAGCCAGAGCTCGGGAACACTGCAAGAAGCGTACAGTCTTACCAGGCAGGAGAGGATCTTCGATACATAGCATAGATGGTCTGTATCCATTAGTCATGACTTTCATGATTTCTTCTTTGGCAATGTAGGCACCTCCATTTTTTATTCTAATACCAGTTTTCAAGTAGTTAAAATTCCTTCCATAGAGTTCAAAAAATTCTATCAGAAGCATTCCAAGGTTTTCATCAGCTCTTCTGGCATCAATTCTTGGATGCAGCTGTGAAACAGAACAGTTGTAAATTAAAAATTTATGCTATTTAGACCATAACAGTGCAACAAAGCTCTCATTTAAACAGCTGAGTATACTCTCTTTACACAAGTCTGAACCATGTCATTAATTCTTCATGTATTTAAACTACTTTCACATAACCAAGAGGGGGCAGCACTTCAGCAGTATCTGGAAGAAGCCAAAGAATTCTTTCTTCCCTCTTCCAGATTTTTGAGGATTAATAAATTCTTTTCCCTCAGCCAAAAGCAATAAAGAAGTACTGCATACTACAGTACAGCTTAGTAACAGTAATACTTAATATTTCACAGAAAATCCAGTGGTCAGTATTTTCAGAAGTAGGGGTGGGAGGTTATATATTTAGCCCAACTGAAATACAGTTTCTCTCACTCTCCCCATATTATACATGGTATGTAAATTCTATAGTAATATTTCAATTAATCATTAACAGCAGCAGAATACATAGGTTTTTCCATTATCACAGCTGCTGAGCAATGCTAACCATTCTACCTCGTCATACTCAAAGCTTACCATCAAGAAAAACATATTGGAAGAAGTTTTAACTCATTAGCTCCCTACTCATCAGTTACCTACAGTATCTGCCAGTTTTATGTAAGTCAAAACCTAACTAACAATTCAAAACCAACTTGACTGATTTCATAATTTTAATAAGCACTGAAATCAACTACTCTGCACATTCAGTATCAGTGGTGTAGTAAGCAACAGACTTCAACTGCATCCTGGCAGACTTACAAAACACCAGTAAGATGCCCAGTAATGTAGCATAATTCATATCAGAGGTCCTGGTATAGAAAGCAATGCAAAGCTTCTATGCAGTTCACAGGGCTGCTGTTTCAGTTCACTCAGTGAACAGGAGTCTTAGAGGTCTAAGAGGTAGTCCACAGGAGCTGCCAACAGTCAAACACCTGGAGCCGGAACAGTAAAGCTCTGCATTGCTAGGGGCATCTAAAGATTAAACAGCACCAGAACTGGGCATAAGTACAGAAATGACAATATTTTAAAGAACACAAACAAACAAACAGGCTTACCTGCAGGAAACTAATTGCCATTAAAATTAGGCTGTAAGAGCTAATTCCACCAGTAAAAACTTCATTCAAGTCCCTCTGAAGGAGGAACTGTTTTAATACTAAAATCAAATAAGGCAGCAAAGAATATTTCTGCAAAGCAAAATAAGTCTTGTCAATGACAATGCCAACAAAGAATGGACTACACCATCTCAACACAAGAGGATCAATCTTCTAATAGAAAAATGTTATTCAGTAGTGTGCTATAAAGTGTTTCCACAGGAGTAACTGAAACATGCTTTTTTTTACTTCTAGAAACAAATGAATAGACTTCAACTCCTATTTGATCAAACAGCTTACAAATCAAATTTATTCACACACACACCATGAAGCCTTTTTTATCCTTCTTTGAATGCCAGTGTCACTCACTATAGTCAAAGCTTTCCATCTAAACGGTACTTTTACTGCAGAGCATAAAAGTAAACTTGACTAAGCATGTAGGTAGAAAAGAACTGGTTTTACACATTGTTTAGCAAGACAGTATTCATAATCAAGTATCACTTAAATCCAAGGTAATCAAACCACGAACAGACTTGCTTTAGAAGTAAAACACAGCACCTATCTGCAGGTCAAGATATGCATGTAGAAGTCCTTTCAGTGTACAGGTTTACACACACAAGTACCTAGCACTCAAAGGCAACACCAAATAGCTACCAGTACAAAATAAATTAAAATATCGATGTTTAATTAGTATTAATGAAAACAGTCAGCAATAAACTTTCAAAAGTCTTAAGCCATATCAAAAAAGGTTAGCTAGGCATCTAGCACATCCTTGGTAAGTACTACAACATTAATTATAGGGCTGATACCTTCATATATTCCTTGATAAACCGAGCTGCCTTCACACCAGTTTCTACATTAAAACTGATGTCAACTTTCACTTCTGTCTCCTGGTCAGTAAGTTTTATTATTGGTACCTGAAAAGATTAAAACAAGGTTTTATGAATCTTCAGAAATGCAACACTGGTGCTATTCTCCAGCTTACTCAAGACACATGGATACTATCAGACCAAATGAATGCAGCTATCGAGACAAGGAAACATGCTTTTGAGAAAAGATAACAAATCCCAACTTGACTGACAGGCAAATGCTTTTTACTGAGGTGACTAGAAAGACACTCATGTACGATCACATTAACTTACAATCACTCATGTACTGTCCCATAGCTATTAGTTACCTGCCTTCATAGCTGCAATACCAGTGTTTTGCAAGACAACTCTATTTATTTAGTTTAATGACTCACTGCTGTTAACAAGAAACATTCTACTCTCATAAACCTGTGGGAACTGCATTCATCTGACCCAGCATTACAACATTCTCTTACTAAAATGAGAGAAGACTAGCCTAGCAGAAAAAAATAAAGCACTATCTGTGGGTTTATCAAGCTGAATTGGTTCACTGCAGAGCCAAAAGCAAGCCAGAATGGATAAAAGCAAAGCAGGAGTAGCAACACATCCTCTTCCGGCAGCAATAAATTGCTGTAAAAGTACTGAATAAGTTCAGTCTCACACCACCACCCTGAAGGCAGTATCCCACAAAATCATCTTAAAATCATAACCTAAATTTCTTTATTTTAAACTGAATTCCTTGTATTTTTAAACTGAAATAGAAAAAAAAAAAGCAGAAGCATAACAATTTTATACCAACAGTAAAAGGAATAAAGTACAAAAGGCCAGTAAGTGTTAAGCCTAGTGCCATTTTCCATCACTAACTGATACCACTGACTCCGAAAATCCTGCTCAGTCTTAGGTGTCAGTAGGTCTGGTAATATTTGGTTTACGTACTGCTACTCCAACAGAAGCCATAGGAATCTTCTGGACCTAGAAGAATCACCCTGTTTCAGAGATTACAAAACGCAACAGCTTGCTAATATAAGTCTGGAATACTCTGCTTAAGCTCCTGGAGAAAACACCACTTTGCACAGTAACATAATATTCTCATACTTTTTAGCCTATTCAGTGTGATCTGTTCGGCTTACAAGACAGATACAAGAGATGCTACATGTCTGTTTCACAAATGAAATAAAGCATTTAAGTAGCATACTTTGGAAAGAACAAAGTAAGTCACATCTGTAACACTTCACTACATCAGAAACAAGACCACCTGAAAAATCAGTGTTTCAAGCTAGACAGCTCTAGTTACTGCCCTCTGGCTAAACCAAGTCTTCTCAAAGGTCAGTGGAAAAACATTATACAAATAGTTTACATACCTAACTAGATATTTTGCAGATACCGACTCTCAGATCGTATGATCTGAAGCATAAAAGTATGGCCTTCCAGCAAATACAGTACACAGAATTACCATTCTCCCTGTAAAAATATGTGCTATTGTTAAGCACGTACAGATTCTACTAAAATCTTGCACAGGCAGACCAAAACCTCGTGCTTAAGACAATATAATTTGCTTCATGAGTTAAAAACACTATCACCAACATTTCAAGGGGTCTGAAAGTTTTTCAGTTCAGCATTCCAAAGACTATTACTTACCGTAGCTTTATCAAGTACTTTAATGGAATATGGCTCGGCCACGTTGTGTTTCCTTAGTGCTTGCTCTAGCAGCTGTAAAGGGGGCCGTTCCCATTTCCCAAAAACAACTAGATCAATATCACTAGACAAAAAAGAACACAGCATGAGATCCATTTAAGTCTAAAGCATAATACTCCACCAAATAAAAGGTAAAATTGGCATTCAAATATTACAAGTCCTCCACAGTGACGATTTTGCAACCTTTAATCTAAGTTCCCAATAAGCTTCCTTTAGCAATGGTAAGAGATGGTCTAATGTGCTTTAGGACCCGAAGTACTATTCTAGTTCCTTGTTTCCAGTTCTCTTTCGATCTCCTCTCCCTTTGAGCTTTCTTGCTCCCTCCCCTGAATTCCACAGCTCAATCCCATCCCTCATCTACCCATGCTGACAGGCAATTTAACAGTCCAAACAATTTTTATCAGTGATTGTAATTCACAGAAATGAAGTTTCCAGTGCTCTCCTACTGAAAATTGATTTCATGTGAAGACAACATAGTCTAAGACACAGCTACAGAGGTCTTCCACATCAACCTATTGAACCAATAAGCAATATAAAATACAACTAAGATGTTTTGCTCAAAAAAATGGGAACACACAGCTGTGATGACTCCTCTGATTTTGCACAGTAACTCTGTGACAAGCGACACATTCTCAGTAATTCATCTTACTTAACACACAATCTTTACACAGGAAATACCAAACATTCAATTTCACTGTGTCTTGAAAACAAAGAGCCAAAGACTAACCCCAGACACAAGGAAGAAAAGGTAATTCACCAAAGGGTCAGTAAGTACCTAGAGTAGTACAATGCTATCACAAATACTTATCTCACATCTGTAAGTTCAAAAGCTCTTCCTTTTGTCACATGGGGCAAAAAATTCTTCTGGAAGTTTGATAGGTTTACATATTCCAGTCTAAATTCCCCTTTGAAATTTACCATTACTCTAAAAGACAAGCTTTTACATAAAAGTAAATTATGACTTACCTAGTTGGAAGATAAAGCCCTGTACTAAAGCTGCCAAATATCTGGACCTGAAAAAAAAAAACCACCCACACAAGTGAAATACCTTGTAATTATGAATACTCACTTCATTTTACTTTCACAAGACAATATTTTTCTGGACCTGTTAAGGACAGAGCCCAGTAAAACAGTTACTGAACTTCCTTTACTACATACTCTGTTAAGCCTGTACAAATACACTTTCTCTTACAGGAACTTCAAAAGACGTTTTTTTAATATGAAATGACTACCAATCCTGCTAGCAGGAGAGCACAAACTTTGAAACAAGTACTTTTCACTACTTCCAGTTCAACAGAAGCTGTTATAAATTTCCTTCCTTCTTGCTCCCTTCTTTCCTCATAGGACAGCTTTACCAAATTTGGAACGGTTTAAGGGAAACACTTTTTCAAAATGTTTAGGTTTAGCAGCAAGTGTATCTAAATAATTCAGACAAACATGAATACTCCAGATTTGACTGTAAGGATGACTATCAAACTGTGGCAGCTGTTTCTGTGCAGAAGAGGCAGAATGCTGACGAGGCATTCACAGTCCACACAAAACAATTTAGTGTGCTGCCCATCTAGAGAACTGAGACGTTCTTCCCTCGCTGCTACAGCCAAACACAAATTCACATCTTTGAAGTAGCCTATGAAAAGGCTGGGCAACACCAGACATTTCAGTGTTTAGATCTGCTCCCACAAGGTAGAAAGATGTTATTACCAAGGAAAACCACAGATGAGGATCAAGTAGACAAGCTCCACATTATCTTTAGCTCAGTACTGTGGCCACAGCCCTCACTCTTTGTCATGGAAGGCTATGACATCACAGCGGTCTCAAATATTTTTCTGCTTGTTAATGACAATGCTACTATCTGGTAATCAGAAAGATGATGCTAGAGATACAGTTCACATTATATTCCTTTTGGATGCCTTTTGTTTGGAGGAAACCTACTCTCTGGGTAATTAAGGGTTCGAAAATACAACTTTGGTTGCAAGGTTTCTCAGGAAGTCAAGCCCAATGTTCCCACTGAAGCAGGGCTGAAGTAATTCCCTGAATGTCAGGTTTGTAGAGAGTACAAAAACAAATCTGGGGTATAACTGGGGTTTTGTTTTTTGGTTGGGATTTGTTTTGGTTTGGTTTTTTTTTAATTTTTGTATTTACAAATGTCGAGAGTCAGGACTCCTTGCAGAAACGGATACAGAGGTAGTCAATCTCACTTTAACATTCAAAAGGAAGTTATGCAAAGACAAACAATTTAATAGGCTTTTACTTTAATAAATGAACTTCAGGTGGACAGTTCTTCACATTCCCAGTTCTCAAAATGGAAAAATTATCAGTAGCCTTCATTAACCTGAAATCTAGATTTTAAGTTTCCTCCACTTCTTAAAATAAACTGCCACGTGCTGCAAAAGTTGGGGTATTAAGTCAATTGCCTTAAGTCTGAAGCTTTATCTATTCATTTCTAAAACAAAGATAATAGCAAGGTTAAGTGAACAGACTCTACAATTTACTAGAGAAGCAAATCAACACTTTAATTACACTCACATCAGCTGTAGGCCAAAGATCTTTGATGACTGTTTCTATTCTTTTCACCACTTCTCTTCTCATAGCTGCTTCTTCAGGACGAGGGGACATGAAGTCATAGAAGTCAATTATTTCTTCATGTAGTCTGAAGGAGAAAGTAGTATCAGTTATGATGACAGTTTAACTACTACAATAAATTTCAACAAAAACAGGCCATAGGCTTTATTTAATATCATTATTTAACCCACACCAGCAGTATTTTCAAGAAAGGAGAATGCCACTACAATTAGTCTTTCATACAGGAAACCGGAAGGTTTGGGATGTGGGATTTGAGATAGGTATCTTCTTGATTTTCATGGCAACACCTCACAGTAATCTCAACAATACCTAGACATCAGCCCTCATCATATTACCTACATGCTAAAGATGTCAAAAGAAACAGGACACAAAAATCAGTAGCCATTTACTAACCTTCTTACTGGCTCAACAGTGAGGGTCAAAATGAACTCCTGTTGAAAAGATTATTTTCTTAAAAACTATGCAATGATCCAAATGTTAAGAAGCACAAGAACTAAAACCTTGAACCAAGTTTATTCTTCCAGAGGTTCTTACTTTTTTGTATGTAGAAGTTTACACAGACTCGGAAACAGGCCAGTGACATTAATGGGTTTTTTGCAGAGGACAGTAAAAGGGAGATTTGAGTATTCCTTGATGTAAAAATATCCACTTTGACAAAGGGGGATTCCTTTGACCACTTCAGCCCTTTATCAGCCATTCATTCATATAGGAAGCAATCTTCCAAGTGAACTACTTAAAGTGAGAAATGTTAAATATATTCTAAAGCATAGAGTACATCAATTCCAGTTTTACACAAGGAGTTCTGACACTGCATCTTCATACACCTGTTACGTCCTTTTGTTTCCCACCTCCTGATACTATAGAACACCCACTGCCAAATTTGAAAGATCGATTTGAGTTTTTCAGGTAAATGCTGTGTTTGCTTTCAATGGAAAAGCATCAAGCCATGCCAAACAAACAAAAAAATGCAAATAACTACTGCTGTAGTATTTTACAGAAACATCTTTTTCATGTTGAGATATTTGTAACATTACTAATTCAAGGAACATATCAATTCAACACTGTAGTGAAATCCTAGTTCACTGTAGTGAAATCATAGTGAAAAAGATACCCCACAGGTTCAATTCTTAGTTAACATACTTAGCCTTTCAAGAAGAAAATTGTATACATCTCTAGTAGAACCCAACTCTGCCCCTGAGACTTTTGCAATTCATTTTACTATATAATTCCCAATCTAACAGATATCCTCCAACAGACAGTATACCCTATGATTAAGTGTCAGGATTCCTTTCCATACACACGAGATATTTTTAGCAGCAAAGCACAAAGATACTTCTAAAAAGCATGCATATTTAGAATTACTGTTTGCTCTTTCACTTACCTTACACTGGGCCTGGATCCACAATTGAACATAAAACTACACAGCAGACTTCTCAACTGAACATTTCAATTTGTTGAATCTACTTGATTTCAAAACTTCAGAGCCAGACAGAAAACACCAACTAAAATGCTCCTGTTTTATTTTGTTTCTAGGAAAGTATGGGGATTTTTTTTTTCCCCTCTTTCTAAGATGACAAGACCAATGAAGAAAATACTTTAATATACCTAATAACAGTGGGGCCAAGCTAAGACTTCCCATTGTCCTGCTTCTAAATCAGCAGTAGGCAGGTACAAGGTAAAAGCAAGAAAAGACAAAGCAGTTACCCAACCCTCTTGCAGCAATCCTTCCAAGGCTCCAATAATTTCATTTGGGAAACTTTTGAGGTGGATCCCAACCATAATGTCTATTAGCTCAAAGGAATTTTCTTCCACTGATCTTTTTCAGGTCTTTAGTCTAGTTACACTTCTGAAATTCTCATAAAATGTCACCAACTAGAGTATGCACCAAAATAAAGTACTTTATTTTAAGCTGCTGTCTGTTAATTATTTTATCTGATGCTCTTTTCCTTGGAGGAAAATTATTGGCAGTTCATCTCCAAACGTAACACTTGTCAAGATCTTAATTCACATGCACTTATCTCTACCCACCAGCTCTTTTTCAAGCTAGCAACCCTCATCTTTTCCCTCCTTCCACAGGAGTAGGTCCAAAGTCTGATCACTGCTAACCTTCTTCAGTTTGTTTTCAGTTGTGTCATGTTTTCTGAGGGTGGCCAGGAGGCACACAGAGTCAGTACATCATTACACCATTCACCCCACACACACCTGTTCTCGTTTTATTGTCCACATCATTGCAACAATTGCTGCTAACTCCAGTTCAAGAATATCTGAGCATACAGCTTCTCTCTGAAAGAAACCATTATGAAGGAGCTTCAAGGTGTTTTCTGACCAATGAACACCAACATAAAGCCCACCCACTGGGAATAATCAGCCTGAATATTTTTTCTGCAGACTCATGATTCTATATTGTGCTGGGTTCAGCCAGG